GGTTTGTTTTGCATGATAACAGATCTGAGGTCTGTGAATGTTGATCTTTGTGCAAAGCAGTTGGCTTTCAAATGGGAACCAGCATCTTGTGATGATGTGTCCTTTCTACAAACCTAACCAGACAGGGCAACAGAAATCATGTTTGTATGTAATTACAGTGACAGTGTATGTACACAGTCAGCTGAATTTGCATACAAACGTAACAGGATGAAAACAATGTTGTCACCATGTTTCACCCAATGTTCTTAAAGGGAAATACACTTGCTTGCAGTCGAATTTAGATAAGAAGATTAGTTATCATTTTCCCCTCCTTTCCTTCTCAACTCAAATGTTGCAAAGTTTGCACACTCTCAGAGTTAAGAACAAAACCTAAGAGACTCCTGAATGCATAGGTGGCTGGCTGGCTACCTGACAAGATAGAATATGAAAGTAAAACAGTTACTTTCATATTCTATCTTGTCAGGTAGCCTTCCAGATTTGAGGAGCATATTTTTCAGCCACATTGGCAGCATGACTCAAGGGGTGGCACTGTTGGTCGGACCACCACTTTGGTCTAGACTGAAATATCTTCACAACCATTAGATTGACTGCCATGAAATTTTGTATGTACATTTGTGATCCCCAGTTGATGAATGCTACCAACTTTGGCCATCGCCACCTTGAGTGTTAGATCTGTGGTTGTGAATGAAATGTCTCAACTGCTATTAGATGGAAATACATGTCCCCCTCAGGATGAACTGAAACAACTTTGATGATCCCCTTACTTTTCATCTATTATTTCATCACCATTATCATGGTGACATATTAGCATTTAGCTCAGTGCCCCGCTGTGCCTATAGTATGTACAGACTCACATAGCTATAGCCCCTTGTTTTACTTTTGTTGGGTCACAGCACAGATTTTACGTGTCAAGGAGTGTTACTTACTTATTACTAAATTGCTCTTTTAATGTAGGCTAACTGTTCACCCATGCTCTTATTCTTTGTGCTAGGCTACATATGTCCCATTTTTTCAGTATCTCTGTACTGAAAGCACAGAGGGGGAATTCCTATTATGACTGCGGATAAGACAGCAAACACACATATTTCCTAAAACGTAGGAGTGTAACTTCAAGGCCCAATCTGTCTGTGACTGGTCACTCCCCAACAGAAGCTTTTACAAAACACAGTAACGAGATGAGCAAATAAATTTCCCTCAAAGAGAAAAAGAAGAGTCACCTCGAATGGCCAAGCAATAAGACACAAGTGAAAAGGATGGCTCCTGAATTATACAATAGGGGGAATCTTATCCAATTATTGTCCAGGGTGACCATTGTTACCCTAGCTGATGGGAACCCAAAGCAGCTGGCAATTCCTGCGACACTGTCCACAGACCAGCAGACCAGCAGACCAGCCAGATTGCACTTTGCAGTCTCCTCCCACCAGATGCTTTAATTAAAGCAGAGAGGAGGGCACAGCCTCAGTCATCCTGCCCCGCCAACAGATGGACAACAACTGGCAGAGTTCATTAAGGACTGGCTTCAACTTTGATCTGCACCTTCAAGTCACGAGTTCACTGCTTCAAAACTACAACCTAACAATGACAGAGACGAGTATGACAAATCACCCTCTCTTCACATGAATTTCATCATTATACAGCCTTGCAGAAAAGCTTGAGAGTGGTAAACAAAGCTCTGTGGGCCAAGTCGACTGTAAACCACAACAAGGCTGCTGGTGTAAACATTTTAAGGTTGAGTATAAACTTGTGTGTTTACAAGACATAATGGCAGATGATTTAGTATACTATGTGAGTGCAGGGTAAAAATGGAAATGGATAATTCTACAAACTGTGTTTATTCTATAAAATGAACCAAGTTAATCAAAGGCCAGTGTGGTGCAAAATTAAACTGGCCACATAAACCACAGACAGCCTCTAGTTGTAACTAATACACAGAGAAATATAGAACCATTTTACTCCCTATTGGTCTTGTGGTGAGGAAACAAAAAAGAGACAAACGACAGTCTAGAATGAGAAAAAACCCAATAACATTTGAGCTGTAAAATTGAAGGTTTTTTTCTTCCCACTAATCACTTGATTATCTGACAACCAACTGGTGGCCTCCAAGATAATGATATATAGGTCTGATATAAAAATTGCTCAAAAATGACAGGGAAACAGGAAACAGGAAAAGTGATGTGACATTAGGGCTGAAACAGTTATTTTATTAATGAAATGTTCTTTATTCGATCAATAATATCATCTAAAAATGTCCAAAATAATGACAAATGCCAATTGCAGATACTTTACTGTGTCGAAATTAGCTTTTTTAACGGTCAATGTCAAACAAGATATGTGACCATATTATTGACACATAGCCACAACGAGTTTTTGAAACTCTATAGATTGTTATAAGGAAACAGTTAACAAAGAAATAATGTACAACACAGTAACACTTTAATTCAAGCATAGCAGTAGAATATTTTGCTCACCAAGATGGAGAATTTAAACACTGAACTAAATAGCATGCCATTCGTGCTTTGCTGTGTTTGACAAAGTTCTGACACTGGTGATCTGGGCTGTATCTGTCAGTCTGCTGGAGGCCCAAGCAAGAAACCTTATTATCCTGCCACACTGCCCTTCACCTTCCCCCACGTCCCCAGATACACCTCCCACCAGTCCCACCGGTCGGCCCAACCACGCTCTGACAGCTGCTAAATGAAAATGTTAAGTCTACAGCGCACCACACTCCTGACAGTTCCTTACCTGACTTACATGTTGCCCTTTTCTAGACAGGCTTTAACTGAAAGCAGTGGTAAACACATATAAATACAAGTGGTTAATAATAAGGCAAGTGTGCAGCAAAAGGAAAAGCACACTGGGACAATTGCTATTCTTAATCACTGAAAGTAAAGAAAAAAAATCAGGTTTGACACAAAATAAACCATTAGAGGCCACAGAGGGAGAAACACACTGGGGTCAGAGACTAGACATAGCCTAGAAAGCAGGGGAGGAGTGAGGGGGGTGGGACAGCAGTGCAAGAGGGGGAGTGTCGGGTGTTGTCTAAGGAATTAGCAGAGAAAGTGGAGACTGAATCAGATATGAGGGAGAAAAACAAATCTCTAGGTGAGTCAATGACATGAGAGATGCTTGTTAGGTCAAATAATCTAAACGGTCCCGACTTGATGTGACTCAGTGGCCAGACAGCCATGCTGACGGAGACTCTATTTATTTGACTTTGTCCAGGGATTAGAGAGGGAAGTGCTCCCCAGGGTGCGTCACCGGCCAATCACATTGTTCCACTCAGCTTTGGGTGGATTTTTTCTGTAAGAAGCTGGTGAAGCAGAACTTGACAAAACAGCTTAAAAATGTGCTTTTAAACTGAGGTAAAAATAGGACAAAGAGCATCCAGACAGAGCCTTGATCTGCCTCCTTGCCAGCAACACCACTGTTGAATCTCCTGTGGCCCAGTGACCTCTGACCTCCCACTGGGACTATGTGAAGCTGAGGGGAGGAGTCCTCATGTAGTGACAGCTTGTGAGCTACTCACATCACACTGGTCTCCTCCTCTCTTCTTACAGGACGCTGTGCCACCCACCTCAGCCACCTCTTTCTTTGCCTCTCTGGGGAAATTCAATAATAGCCTCTCTAGCCGCCCCCCTCGTCACTGATGGGACACCATAATCTCTCTATCCTCACGCCCAGAGGCATGCACAGTGGGATGTTATGATGCTCGAACCACAACATGGCAGGAAATTTATGCCTCATTACAGGAAGTGGGCTGTATATTCTCCTCATCATAAACACAGTGGCAGGTGTTTTAATTCCTCTTCTCAGTTTCAGACATGCAACAAAACCTCTGGGACAGATGTTTCAAATCAACTTTAGTTATAAATGTCTGCCATTATATCTGACAATTATATGTATTTATACAGCTGTAAAGAAGTGTAAGAACAAAAATAAATCTCTGGAAAGAATATCTGATTCACTTGGCTTTGTTCAGTAGAGTCTTGTGCATCAATGGCATTTCATCTGAAAATCCAATTTACTATTGTCTAAACTAGTGACATCTGAGTCGTGCATGCCACATAGACACGAGACAATGCTTGCTCTCGTGCTAGGAAGCTCCTCTATTGGTACCATGTGCACAATGAAAACACAGTTAATCTGGTCTTCATTAGCCAATAACCAAAGGCAAGTTGGTTTGGAGTAAGTAATACTCTACATTTGGAGGGTGGGACACAGGGAGACACAGCCAAACACAACTCATCACTGAAGAGACATGCCAAAGGGCTGGCATGACTTGTGCACTGCTGCAGACTGTTCAGTTGACAGACAAGCAACAAAGCAGGACACTTTCTGCAGAACAGCACATAATTCACCAAAGAGAAAGGCCCCAATGTTAGCAGCTTCAAACCTATGTAGCAGAAATCTACGTTGAAGAAAAGTAAGAGTATGGGCAGTATATTAAAATAATAATCACTACACTAATAAAAGATACACATTGCTCAATCACATTGTCTTTCATATCTATGTGATCTATTTGTTGATCTACCTGTTTCTCCAAGATGCGAGAGATCTCTCCCAGAGTTCTGTCCAGACCAGACACTTTGTTGTTGGCCCACTGGCCGCTGTCTTGGCCCTGCAGCTGCTTCAACAGGTCCTTCACCAGGCGCTGCAACCTGAACATACAGGAGCCAATAGTTATTATAAATCTGTTTACAAACAGCAGTTCCTAATTCATGTTTCCATGCTACATCAGCAAACTTCCATCCATCCAAAATTTGGATAATCAATTAATTGCTTAAGTCATTTTTCTGGTCTGGTTGTCAGAAAAAACAAACAGATGTCACCTTGGCCTCTGGGAAATTGTTTTCTGGCATGAATTACCGATAATTCATCTTGATTAATAAGCAGCAGATTATTCAATTTAATAATATTTTTTGGTTGCAGCCCTGTACAACAGCTTTATAAGAATTAGAATAAGACATTAAAAATGAAAAAAATAAAAATAAAAAATATGAAACTACAGATTATGAAAAAAAGGAAAACACTCACTTAGCTTTGTATGGGGAGTCAGGGACCTGTGTCTTTGCCTCCATTGATGTCTCATATTCCTTGGCCCTGCAGAAAGAGAAGTAGGAAAATGTCTTTGAATCCCAGGAAAAAGTGTTTGGCCTGTCAGTAAAGAACACAACGGATAAAAGTGTGAACAGAGGAAAAAGTTCAAACCTGAGTTTGTTTATTTGGCCTGTCGGCCCTTCACCAAGTAACTTGTCTTAAAATAATCAGACACCGGCTCTGTGGGGACGGGTGTTTTGCTGCCATGGAGTATTATCATGAAGACTTAATTCCACCTTTAAATCTGCCTTCCTTCGAGTCATTTTTAACAAGGGAGGCTCAGGTTCTTCACTTCACTCATTGTCAAATAAACAGTTAATAGGGGGCTTCAAGCAACGCAACTAGTGTTTTGAATGTCTGACCTCCGAAAAGGTCATGGTCATTAGGGGACTGGTGGCATTACTCCAACAGCCAGGCACAGTCTGTGTGTGTGTTTGTGTGTGTGAGAAACTGGGTGGAGGATTCAATCTGTCAATCAGGCATTCCCAGACATGATAAGTAACTATTGATCAGAGTTAGATAGAGCGCCTTCCGGTTACCCATCATTACACTGATAGGATCAAACACTTTCTGGAAAACGACAGGTGGATTTGTCCCGGCAGGCCGGACATGGACCAACCACAACCTCATCATCTTTTCACAATCTCTTATATTCAAGGGCAGTCATCTAACAGCAACTGATAATTTAGTCACAGCTGAACCAGGACACTGAGATACCAAAAACCTTCTAACTGCTGTCCCAGGACATTTTCTAGCATTGCGAAAGATAACACTGTTATCACTACTGTGATGTCGGAGATGTAGCGCTTACAAATCTCTTGTAAATTAGAATAAAATAAAATAATATGCAATAATATTTGTCTTAGCAGAACGATATTTTAAATTAATATTAAGGTTAAATCTAAACAAGTAATCTACAAGATCAGCCATATTACTGTCAAAAAGAAAAAGAGAAAAAAGTACAGTCGTACTGTATTAGATACCAATTTCAGAAGACCATCTTGTGAGTGAGGGTAACTATACATGTTTGTGCCACTCTTCAGTAATAATTTTAGATAAAGTTATTTTCCGTGTTCTGTGAGTAGGATAAATGGGTACAACATGCTCATTTTCAGAGGGGCCTGAACTGTATCCGCCCTGTTCGTCATTCCAATTTCTTATACTCCTCTTTATAAAAGAGAGACGGCCAATCTACAAAAGCAAATTCAAACCATGACTACAATGTACACAACACAGATCTAGAAAAGGAAGCCAGGCATCAGTTCAATGGTAATAAAGAGGAGAAGAACCTACGGAAATGTAAAATAAAGCTAATACTTCAATAAGTGTACTTTAAATGCTTGTATGTGCTTTGTATGTTCATTTACGAGCAGGACATTTTCCCCTTAATCCGAGGCAGCAGACTGGGTAAAATGAGTTGGGGCCATGCTTACCACCTCATACTGTATTCCATACTCCATACAGGAGTGTCTTTGTATACACACCACCATCTGAGGTCCATACGCACAACAACACACTGGCCACTCTGTTCCCTGCTGAGCAAACCACAAGCAACCAGCTACGGGCAAGCAGCTCATACCAGGGCATAAGTGGAGACTTTGGTTTCCAAGTTCAGAACTCATCCTGACACTAACTGACAGGCTACTTACATGAAATTTTAACAGCATATTTTCCTTCCCGAAACACTTATTAGAGCAGGTTAGCCAAGCCGCAAAAATAAAAACATGTGGGTTAAAATGTGTGTTCACTGCTTTATGACAGAACTGGGCTGCATGTTGGCCTGGTGAAAAGTCTAGTGAGAACCACTCACGTTTTACGGACACCATACGGTGTTCCAATAAAACGGTTCATTTCCACCCAGTGGTGAAGCGGCTCACCTTTATGTTTACTGGGGCTCTGTGTAATTTATGACCTCTGAAAGCCTGCTGCCTTTGAGTGCTAGTCTCAGCAGAGCTGGTGCAGGGGTGACGGTGAACAGAGACAGATCATGTTGTCACTTTCTCGGTACCGCTGAGCCACACAAAGCCAAAAACAGCAGCACTGAGAATAAAGCACTGTCGCAGAATGGGATGAGTGTTTCAACCTGGAGCTGCCTCTTATTCCTCTTCTGAATAAATACTTTCTCCTGAGAAACATAATAATGATGAATTCTCTTTTTAGAAATCTCACACAGGGTCATATCCACAGGTCAATCATGATAAGAGTTTGGAGGCTTTATTAGGATCATTAAATCTGCCTACACTCATAGGAGAACACTGACCTCCTCTCAGGAAGAAATGTACTCCACCATAGCCAGACTTAAATTGGCAAGAGAGGGATTCACGTAAGAGTGGTACAAAACTTTGAAAGATGTTCTCAAGAGGTCATCCAGACAGGGATGCTCACTAACTCTGCTCCTCTTACCATTTTTATTTCTGTTATAACACAAAACAATGCAATTAACAGAATAAAACAGTTTAGTTCAGGTTAAAAGAAACTGGATTTTTGCTAATTATGTACACAATTGATGTTACTATTAGACGAGTGTATGGTTCTTTTCCAAATATCTTACATATTTATTTTCAATCATAATCCCAATAAAGATAATAAAGAGCAGACTCTTTGCAAAAATTCAGTTAGTGTTGCCAAGTTGCTTCATAATTATTATGCCAACCACAAGATTTTGAAGCTTTAATACCTTTTAGTACCTATGTTTATAAATCATAAATTATAAATGCCATAATTTAAATCCCTCTATTCATCTTTAAATTACACACATATAATATTAATACACACATTTATTATTACAATTTTATCCACTAAAAAGGGAACTGTGAGGGAATATGCAGACAACAACTAACTGCCCCTTGGAGAGAGTTTAGCTCAAATGTATAAAGTTGTTTGCTTTCTTTGTACCTTTGGTTAAAAAGGAGGTGGAGGTAAAATGTAACTAATCTTAGGCCTCTATTGCATCCTAATAACTGTTTTCCAAAGAAAATAATTTTTTTAATACACTGTAAATAACTGAGCTGTAGAAACTGAACTGGAGGTAAATATCTATTAAACTGTTATAGTTATTTTACTAGGAGGCAGCAGAATAAGGAAATACTGGTCCTTATGTTGATGTATACATTTAACCAGTGTACAGTATACACACTAGGGTTGTGTATAATCTGAGATCTTCGAAATGATATATTAGCTGATTAATGTATGAACTGGATTACTTATGTTAAACCTTTAAGACCACATTATCAGCACACCCTCCATTATACAGTAAACAGTAAATGGGTTACACTTATATTGCACTTTTCAACCAGTGAGCAACAAAACTGCTTTACAATGCCTCTCATTCACCCAT